TAGTGTAACAAATTAGCAGGGGAAAAAAAAATTGATGATGCCCTAAATATTAAACAACAAGAATAGTTTAGTAAATTACATGTCCATAAGAGGAATATTATACTGTCATAAAAATAATATTCCTAAATTATTAATACTTAACAACATGGAGATTTTTCCCTTATGTTAAATAAAAAATAGAAATAGAAAAAAATTATAGTGAATATGATCTCAAATATATAACAATACTCAGAAGATCAAAACTAGAAAGAATTACAGTAAAATGAGAGTAGGCATTCTCCGTGATTGTTCTAGCTTCTTTGCCCAAATTTCTGTAAAGCATGTCTTCTGAGGGCTAGCAAACCTCATATTCTGCTCCCATGTCATAATGCCTTTTGGAAAGGCAATGATTTAAGGCCTTGTTCCTAATGAAGTTTCTGATATGGCCCCCATTTTTTTTTAATGAAATTGCTGGCAAAGCCTTTGATGGCTGTCCATGTCGCAACTGTAGTTAACCATGAGAAAGCAAATTTCTTCCCCAAAGAGCAGGACAGGTGGGTTACCTGACCTCCTGTTCTGGAACCTCATGGTTTTTTATCCCAGGAGAAGTGTTATTGGCCAAAGAAATCTTTCATCATTTCAAAAACCTCAATAGCCTCTGAAATATCCAAAAGCAGTTCACCAAGTGGTGAGTCTTTGATAGTGATGGTGAGGATGATGAATGAACCAAGGAGCTGGCTATTTCTAGAAGCACACAAGAGAAAACCCAATTCCTCTCTGGCTGCTTAAGATATGCAGAGAGAGCCCTGGCCGGTTTGGCTCAGCGGTTGGAGCGTCGGCCTGCGGTCTGGAGAGACCCGGGTTCGGTTCCTGCTAAGGGCACGTACCTTGGTTGCAGTTTGTCCCCGGCCCTGGTCGGTCATGCGGGTGGCAGCCACTCGATGTGTCCCTTTCACATCGATGTTTTTCTCTCTCTCTCTGTTCCTCTCTCTCCCTCCCACTCTACCTGAACAAAAAAATGGAAAAATGTCCTCGGGTGAGGATAAAAAAAAAAAAAAAAGATATGCAGAGAGAGCATTGACCCATGCACCAAGAGGTTGCCAGTTCGATTCCTGGTCAGGGCACATGCCCAGGTTGTGGGCCCGGTCCCCACTGGGGGGCATGCAGAAGGTGGCCAATTGATGTTCTCTCTCATCGATGTTTCTATTTCTCTCTCCCTTCCTCTCTCTAAATAAATAAAGGAAAAACATTTTCTTAAATAAAAAAGATAAGCAGAATCAAATCTTGGAGGGCAGGTCCTCATCCGACTGTTTTCTTCTTTTGCTCCAAACCTCAATCACCTTGACCATCTCTTTAATACAGGATTCATCAAAATACCCCTCAGTTTCTCTCAAGTGGCTGCAACAGCTGAACAATGGGCTGACCACTCTTGTTGAATGTATCAAGAAGGGACTTTGTCTTGGGGAAAACAGAATATTGAGGGATTTCTAGGCTTTAAAACTTGAGAGTTATTTCAAAAATGACCCATATCGTGCAAGTTATTTTGAGAATGGGAAGTATATGCTGGCTCATGTCCTGTAGCAATAGACGGTTGCGTTAGTTGTCAAAGTGAAAGCAACGGATGGTATCTGCAGCTACTACATACACTTTCCATCGTCGTTTTCCAACTTCTGCATCCTTAACGTAAGCCATGATGCGTGTCCTTGCGCGTAATTGTGGGATACATTTGCGTTCACGCACGTCAAAGGGAAGCTGTTCTAAATATCACAGCCTGGTTGCGTGTTACCTGCTTTTCACAGTAGCATCCTCGGGTACCTGCACTTTTTTGATGGCACAAGAGTTAATAGCACATTTTGATATAAAAGAGCAAATTTCTCTCACAATGACAACTTTTAAAGCACTGGCAGGACATTGTTTTTATTTTATTACTATTATTTTTTTTATTCCTCACCTGAGGATATTTTTTTCCATTTATCATCAGCCAGAGTGGGAGAAAGGGAGAGAGAGAGAGAAACATTGATGTGATAGAGCCACATCGACTGGTTGTTTCCCGCACGAGCCGACCAGGGCCGGGGACAAACTGCAACTGAGGTATGTGCCCTTGACTGGAATCGAACCTGTGACTCATTGGTCTGCGGGCTGACGCTCTAACCGCTGAGCCAAACTGGCCAGGGCAGGACGCTGCTTTTCAAATCCCTTCATGGACTCTAAAACTCATTCATGGGTATTCTTGGTCTATCATTTTCTAGGGCTGCCACAACAAGTTACTACAAACTGGGCTTAAAACACCAGAATTTGCGATCCCACGGTCCTGAAAGCTAGAAGTCAGAAATCAAGGTGTGAAACCCGTAGGGGAGAACCCTTCCCTGCCTCTTCCTCGCTCCCAGCGGGTTGCTGAGACCTGTGGCATCCCTGGCTCACAGCTGCACAATCCCAGTCTCTGCCCTTGCCATCACTTGGCGCTCTCCTTGTGTCTCCATTCACGTGGCCCTCCTCTTACAAGTCGAAACAGATTAGGGGTTCACTCTACTTCGGCGTGACCTCGTTTTAACTAATTAAACTCGCAACACCCTATCTTCACATAAGGTCATATCTGAGGTACTGGGCATAAGGACGTGAACTTATCATTTTGGAGTGACGCAATTCAACCTCTGGCTTCTGGGGTTTAGTGATTCTGGGTTAAGAGCCTGTTAAGAGAGACCAAGGGGAACCTGGGACCAGGGAATATGAAACAGGGTACAGAGAAGGAAGTGGGAGGTAGACAGATGAAAACTACTTTGCAGTTTTGCTCAGAGGTCTGGTGGCAGTGAGCTCTTCCTGCTGACTTGGTGCAGGGACTTGTTACTAATGGCAACACTGGTGAGTCCTCGCTGAAGACACTCAAGGCCTGTGCTCGAGTCGAGGCTGCAAAGTGAAGTTATGGCTGTGTCCAGAACGTTCTCTGCTGATGCCATATGTTTGAAAATGTCTGAATTTTGTGCAGGGACACACAAGCAGTGTTTTCATAAGTGGAGTTACATAATTAGGACATGGACTTGCATAATAATTAGCATGTGTAATTAGGCACAGACTTCTTGTCCTTTAATTAGACAATCAAGACATCTAATTACAAAATTAAGATGTAATTACGTGGCCCACGATGACATATTTCTTTCTACCCATTAGAGATCACATTTAGAAAATAATTCACAAAAACCAATGAAGAAATGAACCTAGAAACCAGACCTGAGATGCTGAGGGACGTAGTAAGTCGACTGGGATGTTTCCTTTAGTCTTTCCTCTTAGGTGTGAGGGGAGTTATTTCAAATATCATCGCCGACTTGAAAGAATAACTGTTACACCCTGTGCTGTCAACCTTTGGTACACGCGCTAATGAAGAGGAACGTGGGCATGACTAATCCATGTAATTCGCACATGGCTCTTGATTGTGGCTTGTAATTACACTTGAACATGGACTTAAATATGATGTGCTGGGGATTCATTCAAACCCGATACTGTGGCCCTACAGTGGAAACTTGGGTGGGGAGAGGTGGGAGCAGAACCCTCCTTCCTTGTCTGCCCTGGCTTGGTTCTCCCTTGCGGCCACTTTAAAAGCAGATCCATTCTCTGGCGGGTGTGGCTCAGTGGTTGAGCATCGACCCCTGCACCAAGAGGTCGCCGGTTCAATTCCCAGTCAGGGCACATGCCCAGGTTGTGGGCCCGATCCCCAGTGGGGGGCATGCAGGAGGCAGCCAATGGATGTTCTCTCTCATCGATGTTTCTCTCTCTCTCCCTCTCCCTTCCTCTCTCTCTAAAATCAATAATGGAAAGTAAAATAAAGTAATATAAAAGCACACCTATTGCTCAGAATAACACAAGTCAACCTGTAAGCCGGGCTGGCCTTTCCCTGGATATTGGAGTATTGGGTGAAAAGTTCTTATTGTAAGTGCTCCTCACTGCACTGCAGGTGGGCAGGGGAAGCCAAAGACCAGCACACATCCCCTCTCTCTAACAGTACGTGAGTGATTCTTAAAGCAGTAGGGCTCTTTTTAAGCCCAGTGCCGCTATGAAGCCCAGCTGTAGTGTTATTCTCTACATTTTTCCTTGCTCCTAAATTAAGATCTGGCTGATCTCTGCATGATGCTAAACACCCAGTTTGACTCATTAATTTTTCTGAACTAACTGAACTTTTGACCTAATTAGCTGGCTGGTCAGGGATTACAGCCATATGTCCAGGCTTCTCGAAGCCAGCTCCGACTTTCCCTGTGTTACCTCTCTGTTCCCATAAACTGTTGAAACATCCTAGTAACGCCAGTGTTTTGACAGCCCCGTGCACTTCTCAGACCGCCGCTCTCTCCTGGAAAGTGGCACAGAAATCTGTCGGGCTGCCTTTCCTGATTTTTGGTTAAGAAAATATGCTTCCCATATGGTTTCAGGCCATGAAAACAAAGGCAGAAAGGGGTTGTCGGCGGTTGGCGATGAGGTCTCGTCTCCACGGAATGTTCCCTCCGTCCCCATTTCTGATGTTTCTCTATTAGGCCGTGGAATGTGCTGAGGGACAAATTATGTGCAGGGGTCAATTCTGACCAAGAAAATGGACAAATTTGCATGGGGAACTGATTTTTGCTGTTGTGACATCTTACCCCTTGCCTTCGGAGATCATTGTTCATAGGAGATTATAGTCAAAGGACCTGAAAGGGGGAGATGTGTGTATTAAAGAACAACGTATGGAGGGGCATTTTAGGTGGGGGAGGGGCATTTTAGATGGGGGAGGGGCATTCGGATTCCATGGTCTCTCAGGGGTCCCCCAATTTTAGGATTCCTTGATCTCTAGCCTGTCACTCAGTCAGGGGTAATTTACTGGGTTCTATGCTACTCACTCAGCTACAGGTCCCTACCTCTTCAGTCCTTAGATATTGTCAACTGGAAACTTATTTTTCTACCTACATTTTCAGAAGACTCAATAATTTGGACCCCTTCTAGGGCCAAAAGCATGCATGCACCCTCAGGTTCTCTGTTTTCAGATTTGCTTTTCCTCTCAGGTACTCCACTTCAGCATTTTCAAGACTGGAGAAGTTGGGCATCAGACATCCTAAGCCTTCTCCTTTTATTGGAAACCTGACATTTTTCCGCCAGGTAAGGGCTGTCTTCCATGCCTTCCAGAATAAGACATGTTGAGTCCAGTGCAACCTTACCCATGAAGCATTGCTCCTGTCTAGGTCACCCATACCTGGAGTGGTCTGTATGTGAAGGAGCTACATGATGACAGTGACCCATCGTTTATCACTCATCAATATGTATTGAGTCCTGTCATCCATTCATTCAATCAATCACCCCAAAACCCATTTATTGAGTTTATAAAGGTGCCAGGCCCTGGAATGTGGAAGAAGTAGAAATTACTTATGCCCTCAAGGGCACACACCAAATAATGGTGGACAATATCAGATCAGATCTCTCCTCGCGCTAGATTGAGTGGCTGCCCTTCAGAGGAGAGGGAGACCCATCGGGGTTAGAATCATCCCGAAGAAAGGGGTCCTGCAGGAGCGATCAATACAAAGACAAGGACACACAAGCCAGATGGGCAGTGACAATGTGTGTGAGGCACCTGGAAGCCAAAGATTAGGGACCCCTGAGGAATGTAGCTATGGGGGGTAGGGTCAGGGAGGGGGCCAGATCCCTGACAGTCTAGACAGGCAAGTGAAGAACCACTGATGTGCTATCGCTTATGAGTAGGAGAGGGAAGGCCAAGTGGACGATACTCTGTAGAGAACTGAGGTCAGGTCTGTAGAATCCAACTGCTGAAGTCTAGGTGTGGCGTGAAGACCTGGCCCAGGGTGGTAATGCCAGTGAAGAGAGAGGCATGTGAGTACCTCATGTGACTAATTAGGTGTCGAGAATTCAAGACAAAATGACTCAAATGTGCCTGTAACTTTGGAGCCAGGATAACAGGGAGAATGGCCACGAGTTGCCAGAAATAAAAGCTCGGAAGGGAAGCTGGTTCAGCGAGATGCCTTTGAGTGGCCAGACCAGCAAGGGGAAACGTCCACATTTGTAGATTAAGGCCAGGGGTTCTATATTCGAAGGTTATTTTCCCCTCACATTGGGTTTTCCCAGAAGCCAATGGTTTATTCTGCTAACTCATGGGGGTGCTGCCATGAGATACAACCACACTGGCCGCTAAGCCAAAGGCAGGAAGGACTACATTTGGGCCAATCCTGATAATACCCCTTTAAGGTCTCTTTAGGGTTCCCCACCCCTGCCCCCCGGAAAGGCAGGACCTTGGTGTCAGATAGAAAATCACAGTAGCTATTTCTGTCCTTCCTCCTTCCTCGCGTTTTTATTCCTTCTGACCTTGTCTCTGTCCGTCAGCCACTTGTACTCGGTATTGTTGTCGTTTCTCTCTTCCTGGAATTTTAAACACCTTCTTCTCCCATCTCTGTCTCAGGAGTGGCCGGTGCTCAACACTAAGCCCACAGCTGCCACACCCGGGCTTCTTGTGAGATTCCTGAAGCAAGCGTGAGGGAATGTCTAAGTGTCAAAATAGAAGAACAGACCAGATAGGAAATTAAATGCATTTGACATTTCAGGGGGTGGGGGTGGGGGGTGGCCAGTTGCATTCAGTTGAGTAATTGCTTTGGTATTAACATTTGGAGGGAAACAGCCTAACTGTCCATGTGAGGAGAACACGGCCCCTCCCTCTGGATAATTTCCACATATGCTCTTCTTCAGCTCGTCATCCTTGTATGTACGAACCCTGCCAAGTTCCTTCTAGAGCCCAGCAATTTCAGTGATTATTTTTATATTCATACACGCTCTCCTTGATATATGGCAAGCTTGGACCGTGGACATCAATTTCATGAGAATAGAATGTATTTCCGCCAAGGACATCCACCTCTTTGACCTCCCCAACTCTCAACCCTCACCCACCCCTCGTCTATCTGCCCACAGTCTCATCTTCTCCTTTCCCCACGACACACACCTAGCTTTTCCCACTCCCCCACCTCCATCCCGACCCCTGTGCGGTTTCATGTAAACTTCATTCCCACAATGCAGTGGATCCAGCCATTTCTACCCCTTCACCCAGACCACCACTCTGTGTGTATCTGCACACACACCCCATCCCTCAACACGACTCCGTCCCTACAGCACGAGTCTAGCCTTTTCTGAGCCCCCACCCCCACGCCCCATATAAAACTGCTTTAACATCTTAGGTTCTGAATATGTTGATTTTAGTTAAAATTAAACTTGGATGACGATAATTTAGAATTTGTGATCATTTGGAGAGACCCAGCAGATGTTTACATATAGAGTGGCTGTGAAAAGAGGCTTTGCCAAAAATAATAATAATATAAACCAAATTGCAGAGGGGAATGTTAACATAGTTGAGAAAGCAAACAGTTTTCAAATATTTTAGCAGCAATTATACACAAATAGTTTAAGTACAGATGATCTTTTCTGCCCATTAAGGCAGAGCTGACGGAGACTTTTCCTTGGCAACATATATATATTTTTAAAAGCTGTTCGTTTATTCTAATACTCCAAACTACTTGAAAGCAATATCACTTCAATTCTTTTTATTGTTTATGTAATTGCATTCTTGCGGTTCCAGTCTTCTTTTCTGAATAAGTTTGAACACTTGACATTGTATTGAGTTGTATTCTTACTGTAGTGCTATGTTTTCTGCAGGGTTTCTGGGAAAGCCAAATGGAGCTCAGAAGGCTGTATGGACGTGTGTGTGGGTAAGAGAAACTCCATTCTTCTGCTATATTTTCTGATTTTTGCTTGGTGAACTGTTTGGAAACAATGACAAGATGGGAAATTGTGTGTCTATTTTGAGGATCCACAATAGGGAGTGTCCAGCAGAAGAGGCCCTTAGAAAAAACCTCAGGGTTGGCCAAGGGGACAACAGATAGCCTGAAACACCACCACTTCCTAGCCTTTAAGACCCTGAGCTGCTGGGTCAAGCCCTGGGTGCTTTCACCATCTCTCAGACAAAGGGTGCAGGAGGGTGTGCTGCAGTGGGACCCAGTGTATCTAATGTGCCTTGATAACCCGTGGCAGTCTGTCCCCATGGACTTAGCTGAACCCTACTTGGACCTGTTTTGTTCAACTCTATGGGTAAAATACACTGTCAGCTGCATAAGCATATCATCTACCATCCAATCCAGTACACTTTTGAAAGTGAAAGGGGGTGCTGTTAATAATCACCCCAGGCCCGACAGGTGTAGCTTAGTGGTTGAGCGTTGACCCATGCCCCAAGAGGTCGTTGGTTCGATTCCTGGCCAGGGCACGTGCCCAGGTTGTGGGTCCAGTCCCCAGTGGGGGGCAGGCAGGAGGTGGCCAATTGATGTTCTCTCTTGTTGATGTTTCTATTGCTCTCTCCCTCTCCTTTCTTTCTCTAAAAATCAATAAAGAAAAAAAAAATTTTTTTTAATCCCCCCCAGGACAGCAGTGAAAACTAAGTCTGTCCTGGATATACTGGGACATAGTTCTCAGCCAGGTAAAGTAATGTAGCCTTCCCTTTATTTTTTCCTGGATTTTCCCCTTTATGTTTCAGAGTATGCCCCCCCGCCCCGACTTTTTCAAAAAAATGAAATTCCAGAATCTGTGAACAAACCCACATTCAGAGCATTTTCCCTGTTCAAGATTTCACAGACTTGAATCAACTGATTCTGAACACGTAATTGTCTCTCCACACTGGGGTCCTAATCATTTCAGGCTGTTCTACACAGCTTATCCTTAGCCCCGGGGTGATTTGGGTAGCTTTTTTCTGGACCTGCAGGTCAGTGATAACTTCTCTGGTGCAGTCAAGCTCTGTGTGTTCCTAATGAACGTCTTGATGAGGTCCAGTGGTGTGTGAGCCCTTCAAGCATAGAATACGTGATACTTGGTCTCCCAGTGATGATTTCCAAAAGGGACTGACTTGTACCCTGTGTGGACACAGCCCTGCCAGGAGACCCCCTCATTTGGCCAAGTTCTGCTTAGCCAGTCTTTAATTTGCTGTATGACCCCATGAAAGTAATAAATTACAATGTTATACTAGATGCTCTCTATATGAGTTTGTTATTGCTGTATAACAAACTACTCTAAAATGAAGTAACTTAAACAACAAATTATTATTTTTATCATGTGTCTAAGGGTTGTCTTGAATTGACTGATCTAAGCCACCCTTGGCTGGGAAACTGAGCTGAGCATCCTAGTGCACCTGTAGGTCAGCTGGGGTGGTGGCTCATCCAGGTCAGGCTTAGGTGGGAAGCTCTGCACCACATGTTTCTCATCCTCCAGGGACCAGCAGGCAGGCCAGGGCAGGCTCTTCTCATGGTGAAGGCCAAGGTTCAAGAGAGCAAACCCAACAGCTCAAGACCATTTCGAGTGTCTGCTGTATCATGTCTGCTAACATCTTATTGGCCAAACCAAGTTATATGGCCAAACGCAAAGTCAGGGTAGAAAGTCATGTAGCCAAGCATGACATTGATGGAGCAGGGAGGTGTAGTCCTCTGATGGCAGGACAGGAAGATGGTGCATATCTTCTGGTGATAAGCAACTCTACCTCACACTCTAAGGTTCCTTTCAGCTTGATCTCTCTTTTCTTTCCACTTCTTTTTCTTTTTTATTATTTTGTGTGTGTATAGCTTCTTGCGTTCAGCATGATACACAATAAAGGCTCAAGGGGTTGAACTGTTTACCTTTCTCTTTCTCTTGTGCTGTTCTATTGCTCTGTAAAAGTTCTCATTCCATCTTTCTGTTTCCAATAGTCTCCTTCTGCAGTTGACTTGATGTCTCATATATTTCTGAGGCATAGCACTGACTCAGAATGACAGTAGCTTCCCCAGAATTAGAAAAAGGCCTCCCTGCATTTGAATTCTAGGAACACTTCTCTGAGTACTTCTTGTACATTAAAATCTCAGATGAAGAATTTAAAGGGCACTGTAATAACTGGTGGGTGGTGGTGGTGGTGGTGGTGGTGGTGGTGGTGTGTGTGTGTGCACGCACAGAAGAGAGAGAATGAAAGTTAAGACAATTGGTTTCCTTGACAACAGGATGTCCAATCAACTTTCCCCAACTTTAACTAAGTTAACATAATTTATCCTTTTCATTTCAAGAAAACTTAAATCAAAAAGAATGATTCCAAATGAGGTTATAGAGATAAAAATTGCAGTAGCATCTCAAATCTTTGTTTCCAGTTCTGGTGAAAAGGGGAAAGAGAGAGAGAGTGAGAAAGGTGATGGCATAATTTCTACCTACACAGCTTTTTCTGCTCTTTAGGAAAAAAAAAAAACATGAGCCATAAAATGCTGACTTCTTTTTAAACACACCCACTCCAGGACTTAGCGGCAGCATGGTGGTGGGGTGAAGTCTTGTTTGAGCTCTGTAGTCCAGATGACACTCAATATGCTCACCACAAAAGGGCTGACTACTTCTAGTCAAGATGGCAGCGTAGGTAAATGTGGACTCCCCTCCCCCCACAATCAGATCACAATTACAACTAAACTACAGAACAACCATCATTCAGAACCACCGAAATCTAGCTGAATTGAAGTCCTACAACTAGGTTAAAGAAGAAGCCACATCAAGACTGGTAGGAGGGACAGAGACACTGAACAGGCTGGCCCTACATCCACATGTGGCAGATAAATATTGGGAGGATTATCTGGGGGGGGGGGTGGAGGTAACCCTGAGGACTGAGGGATTCTAGCCCCAGACCAGATCCCCAAGCTCAGGGTTCCAGAGCCAGGAAGAAAAGTCTCCATAACTTCTGGCTGTAAAAATAACAATAACAACAACAACAAAAAAAACCAGTGGTGATTATGGCTGAGTGAAACAGAATTCTTCTGGAGTCCCAGGTAGTTCCTCTTAAAGGGTCCGTGCATGGACTTACTTGGATTCACTCTCTCTGAACTCCAGTTCTGGGGCACCAGCTTGAAAGGAACCAGGGACATACAAGGGGAAACTGAATTGTCTGGCAACAGAGCGACAGGTGGTGAGGGAGAGCAGCTTTCTGCTAGATAGAAATGCTGGCAGAGGCCATTGCTCCTTTGATGAACTCTCTCCCCCCACAGAGCTGACAGGCAGGCACCACCATATCTGAGTCTCCATCAACCTGGCTCACACTGTTCACCTTGCCTTGGTGATTCCCTGAGACCCCACTCCACCTAACTTGTGTGCCCACCCAAGCCAGTTCCAGTGGCTTTCCCATACAAATGTCCTCTCTTGCCTCATGCTTTGCTTTCCTAAAATTTCTCAAACAAGCAGCATCTGGCCTCTGCATACCTCATACCTCTTGCTAAGTGGCCCCAGCTATGGCACTATGGTAGCCAGCCTTGGTTCACAGTTTGGCCTCTCGTGGGCACCTTCAAACCTGAAACAAGTAGCAGCCATCTGCAGATCACTCTTTAGCTCGTGCCAGGTGGCCCCAGGCAGGACACAGACAGTGGCTGATTTTGCACCTCCTGGGAGGCCCCAGAGCCAGTGCACCCAGGAAAAGCTTCAACCATGACAGATTATAACCCTACCACCTCCATGAGTGACACACTCAAGGGGTGGACTCAGTGAATACCAAAGTCCACTGAAGCAAGTCCTGCTCCATGAGATTGACTTTTGCACAGCAGCTCCTCCACTGTAGTCACAGCTGGTTCTAAAGCCAGTCAGTCTGGGGATCAATTCCTCCAATAACACCAGAAGCAATCAAGACTCAACAACAACAGGATAGTGCACACAGCCCACACAGGGGTGCACCCTGAGTACCCAGCTTGGGTTACCATGGAGGCTACACCACTGGGCCTTACATGCCACTCTACCAAGTCCAGGAGACATTACATGGAAACAAACAGAGAAGCAGCCAAAATACAGAGACAAAGAAACAAGTCCCAAATGAAAGAACAGGAGAAATCTCCATAAAAAGAACTAAACAAAATCTACCAGAGTTCAAAACAATGATTATAAGGATGCTCAAGGAACTTAGTGAGAACTTCAAAAGTATGAGAAAGGACATAGAAACCATAAAAAATAACCAATCAGAAATGAAGGATACACTAACTGAAATGAAGAAAATTTACAGGGAATCAACCATAGAGTAGATGAAGCTGAGGATCAAATCAGTGATCTGGAATATAAGGAAGAAAAACACCCAACCAGAACAGCAAAAAGAAAAAAGAATCCAAAAAAATTAAGATAGTGTAAGAAACCACTGAGACAACTTCAAGCTTACCAACATTCACATCATGGGGGTGCCAGACAGAGGAAAAGGAGGCAAGAAATTGAAAACCTATTTGAAAATCTAATGACAGAAAACTTCCCTAACCTGGTGAAAAAATTAGACACACAAATCCAGAAAGTGCAGATAGTCCCAAACAAGATGAACCCACATCAAGGAGGAGGCCAAGGAGGCCCACATTTGACACATCATAATTAAAATGCCAAAGGTTAAAGACAAAGAGAATATTAAAAGCAGCAAGAGAAAAGCAGTTAGTTACCTACAAGGGAGCTCCCATAAGACTGTTAGATAATTGCTCAAAAGAAACTTTGCAGGCCAGAAGGTAATGGCAAGAAATATTCAAAATGATGAAAAGTGTCCTGGCTAGTTTGGCTCAGTGGTTGGAGTGTCGGCCTGTGGACCGGAGAGTCCCGAGTTCAGTTCTTGCTAAGGGCACGTGCCTTGGTTGCAGTTTGTCCCGGCCCCGGTTGGGGTCATGTGGGTGGCAGCCACTCGATGTGTCTCTCTCATGTCGATGTTTCTCTC